TTTAACTATGTTGCGTACAAAATATTGGATCTTGTTTCCAGTTAAATTGAAGCCGGCAGAAGTACAATAATTGCATGTAGTGTCGTTTCGGTATATCAGCGCCATTTTGGCTGCTGTTCGTGCTACGGGCATGCAAGACTACATACACAAATAAACGCCTAAGGTGTTGTGAGGTTGTTTTTTAACTTAATTAGCAGTATAGACGTACTGAAAATACAATTATTTACGTTACTTCCTCAAAGCAAAAGCGCGTTAATGATTGATCATTGGGAGGTAGATGGGGACCTAGTGACCTTGGAGGAAGAGCTCGGAGAGGGTGCCTTTGGTAAGGTATACAAGGGAGTCCTCAGAGAGCTAACCACGCCCTCACGGAAAATGTTCATGATGTCTCCAATGAAGTCGATTCGTAAAAGTGAAGTCAAGCAGACTGGCGGATTCACTGTGGCGGTGAAAATGTTACACGGTGAGTTGTATTGTGTATTCAGATTTGGGAACCTAAAGGACCGTCGCGAGTTGATGAACAAAAGTCAGTTAATAAAATTTTTACTGACACTTTATTAATTGCGGGAATAAGCGTGTTATTTTTAGGGTCCACGAGGAGAAGAACGTGGTCGTTGGCTATTTACGGCAAAATGTGATTATTGGCAGCTACTTGTATAGGGTTAAAAAGTAGTATGATGTAGATTGGTTCTGCAAGATCCATATTGACCTTTGTTTGGGGAGATAACTGTCACTGTGGAGTTCTGCTGGAATTAATAGTTATTTCTCCTGTGAATCGCAAACAAAGTTACACCGTCAACATGAAAAAAGGTCTTTATACCGCGTAAGATGACTTCATTGCTGTGGACAAATTCAGCAAGCGTGCTAATTGTTAAACGAAGAAATATAAGGTACGTTTTTAGAATATCAGATTAGTTTTAACCGACAAGTCGTAGCTAGTCACTTTCAAGAGACTGGCTTCCATCAGTGGGGAACTTCCATTTGTAGGTATGGCAGACGGTGACCAAAGAAGAGAATTTCTTAAGGAAATTCAACTCATGAAGACCGTGGGATCACACAAGAATATTGTTAACATGCTGGGATGTTGTACGATGCAAGAACCAATGTTCCTACTGGTTGAATATATTCCGTACGGTGATCTTTTACATTACCTCCGAAAACGGCGAGGAAAGGTAAAAGTAACAAATGTATATCAACTATCTCAAATTCACTTGACTAGCCATTTTTGAAAATTGTGCTTTAATCCATGCTCTCTTAGGAAAATCCATAGTGCTCCCCTGAAATTTCAAAAAGGCTTCCCCATTCGATCGCGCTTTTACTTTTTTCAAATCTGAAGGGAAAGCGTTGACAAAATATAATGAGAAACAAGGCGACATTAAACAATCAATTAATCAATCAATCAACGACTTTATTAACGTGTCTAAGGTAAAATAGCCGAAGGTGGAACCCTCTACTTATTGGGGACACCTAAAAGTTAAGAGTAAGAAACTATTTACAGTGTTAAAAATTAAAATTAAAGATCTATTTACAACTTTTAAATTTTAAAATATAAAGTAGGGGTCTATGTACAACACTATTTTGGATGAGCCAGGACTAACGTAATCATCACTAGCCTATTCGCATATGCGCTTAATGTTTATAGTAATCTTCTGTGATTTACTCAAACTTGTTAATAATAACTCATCAAGTTTAAACAAAGGAAATCATGACCGTGACGGTGTTTGGATATCTGATCTTAATTAGCATAGATTTTTACGATTTTATTTCTCCCTTTTCCCCGTAGTTTTAGTTTCGATTGAGAAGATATATCAAACACTCAAGACAGTGTTTGACCACATTTCCAAACACCTTGATGTTCGTCAAAAATATTCCGCTGCGCGTCGTATTTTCAACTCTCTTCTCGGTGTTTGGAAATGTGGTCAAACACGGTCTTTCGTGTTTGACATATTACTTATAACACTTGACAATCATAAAATTCAATTATTACATAGGGAGCAGCAGTTTGGCAGCCGTCAGCCAGTAGCGACTTTACCTAAGATTTACGTACGTGGGTTTTTAAATTGTGAATAGACGGAAGATTTCTGAGTTCTTTAGGCAGCAGTTTCCAAAGTTTGATTAGCATCAAACGAAATGTGTGAAATTCATTAAAAGATTCAAAGGTTCAAACTTTCTTGAAACACGCTCGAAACAAGATATAGTTTTTAACTGTTAATTATTT